CTTGTGAAAATGCTGAAGCTAAGTGGAAGGTTTCCAGTAAAATCGAACATTATTATGATTTTTTAAAAGTGTGTGTAAAATAATCCAGTCTTCCAAAAAGATGCTTGAAGTTGTTTGGATAGAGTTGGCATCTGCCAGAGTCGAGTCACACATAAGATAACATGATTGACCATTTTTGGCATGGGATGGGCTAAATTGGCTCATCTGTTGGCTGTCAGTCTCTTCTGAATTAGATCCAACGCTTTGTAGGCACGTTTCCATCTGGTTAAGTTTAGGACTCAAGCTGTTTATATATTAAAAAAAAAGTATTTTGTACCAATAACAATTTCTAGAAAAAGGGTTTTGCTTATGTTCCATTTTGAAACTATTTGGTTTTCTTTCCTGGTTAAAATAACCTCCTGAAGAGTGAAAGATGATGTGTCCATGTATTATGTTAAGACCCTTGAAACATGCAAATAAAATGGAAAGAAATTAACAATTTTATATGTACATATTTAAATATATGTATATATGCATGCATATCATTCTGTAATATGTGACTCCTCTAAATTGGAAAACCAGATTTTAAGTCTGCTAATATTTTAACCATGTGCATTAGGAAAGGAGGATGAATACATGCTGTTACACTCACATTGAGTCTTTCTAAGATTGGCCTTGCATTATTTTTATTCTGAATATTTGCCATCTGGCACTGGGAGCTGCAGTATTTAGTGCCACAAATAATAATGAAAAATATGGTAATAGCTCGTGATACTTTAACGTAAAAATATAAGACAGAGGGTATAAAGCTCTGGGCGTATGATCTTACAGCTGCCAAAGCATGTTGTTCCCTCTGCCCTTGTTTTCCATAAATGAGTCTTTGATTGGAGACAGCAGCAGTAATGGGAAAGTCATTGGTTAATGCACATTAATGAAACTGCGTTACTGGAGTTAATGAACTACAGTCCTGAAGAAAAATGAGCAGGAAAAACGCCAGGGTTTGTGCCATTGTGTTCAGGTAGCTGTGGCTGCACCCAAGACATGCCAGGAAATGTCTCTGACTCCACATTCACCTGAGACAGAGAGGCCTCTGTCTTCTTCACATCGGAAGAGCCCCATAGAAATGCCTGAACTTTAAACGAAATTGCCTTTTCCTTCTGTCTCCCCCATCAAAACACAATGAGGAGACTGTTGCATATTCAGCAAAGCTGTTGTTCTTGCTGCAGTTAAATTGCATAATTAGATGGGGCTTAAAGAGAGCTGAACCCTGGTGATTGTGAGGCTGAGGCAGAGGTGAGACCAGCCCATGGAATATATCCAGGTGAGCTGCAAACCAACTCACGGAACTGACTGATGAGGTGTTGGTGCTTCAGGAGAGCAGTTCCAGGATTTTTGGGTTCAAAGGCAGTGGGTGTTTCCTGAACGTCCCTTTCAGAGAAGAGGAATTCACCTTTATGATTTCTGTGAGATGGGTTTGTTTCTGAGAACTGGCCAAGCAGCTCTGGGGATGGCAAGAGCTCTGTGGCCGTGTTTTGTGGCAGCTCTGTTGGCATTAAAATCAACTCCTTCCACCAGCTCTGCTCTATGGGACCTCTGCTCACCACTGCAGCATCCTCTGCACTTGAAACAAGAGAGAAAAGCACAAGGTGCCTCAGGGCACGAAGAGTTTCACCTTTCCTAAAGAAAGGAAATCATTTATAGAACACTACAAGTAACAGCTCCACCCACAATAAGCAGGGCTTGGCTCTGCTGGTCTGTGGAGCAGCCCCAGTGCAATAGGAAAGCTGGAATTGCAAAACAGAATTTGAGATTTCAGCTGTTCCCAAAGAGTCCTGAGCAGCCCTTTGGGCTCTGCCATCTTCACCCAGCACTTCCAGGTGCCAGCCAGCTCAGCCAAAGCAGCAACTGGCCTTGAACCCTGGGACACCAGAAATTGCCCTGAACCTCTGCAGTTCATTCTTGCCAGCCATGGATTTACTGCCTGTGAGAAGATCAAACCTGCAGTGAATCCACAGCAGTTGGTGACTCTGTGATGTCCTGATCCCTTTGCCTTCTCCAGGTTTTGTTCCTGTGCTGTGGCTCGCTGCAATACACCAGGCCATGCTTGAGACATTTTGGCTGCTACTGGTTGCTTTTCTTCTTCCCTTTTTTGATTTGAGATGTTCTGAAAATCCCATTTGTGTTCTACTTATGCCATGGGCAAGCCAGACTCCTCTGGTGGACCTCTGCCTCTGGTATGGTTTAGCAGAGGGGCTGTGTATAGCAGAAATTAGTTGTGCCACAGAAGAATAAGGATTTGACCTGTATTGGGTGTGCTGCAGTGAGGCTCCCATGAATCTGGAAAAGAAGGAATGATGAAGAAAAGAAGGAATGATAGAAAATGGGCACTTGAAGACCTGGAAACCACCATGGCATTGGCCTCTTGTCATAATCCATATTCTTTTCTCTTAGACTGACTCCTGCTTCCTAGAGAGACCAGCAGGCAGAGGATCCTGGCATATATCCATGTCTGGGCACATGGATTCTGTGTGAAGACAGCTGGAAGGCTGGGACAGATGTGAATGTCTGATCTGCTCCGTGGTACAGGTTGCAGTGAATGATCACAGTGCTGGCTGCAGCAGGGCGGTAGGAGAACAGCAGGGCTGTGGGGCAGGGCTGGGCTGGCAGCACAATCACCCCTGGCTCAGGGGCTGCCATCCCCTCCTGCCAAAAGGAGCTTCCTTAGCACCTTGTTCTCACACCTGTGAGCCTCTGTGACAGCCTGGAAAATGAACACCCTGCCAAGGGTACCCTGTCAGTGCCCTTCCACAGCTGTTTGTGGCAGTACATGGAAAGATCACAGTGCACAGACTGTTAATTTTCCAGATTGCCTGAAATACAGAAATTCAGGCTGCCTGTCGATCACTATTGTGGTGGTTCTGTAACTGAAGGACCTTCAATGAGCGGTGTGGGTAAGTGAAATTAAAGGTATTATATTGTTTCAAGGATAATCTTTAAGCCTTACATTTGTCTTCCCCCTAAAATACAGCACTTAAATAAATACTTGGGTTGTCTTTCTAGACTGGCTCCAGGTGCAAGGCTCACTTAATTGAATGTGTCTTTTCATCTCCACCAAGACCCTCCCCAGCTTTACTTCTAATCTTATCTTGGTGATTAGACTCAGGTGATTGCCATCGCCTCCAGCACACAGCTCCAGCGTGGCACCTTCCCAAAGGCACTGGCAGCAGCTGGGTGGGTCTGCCAGGTGCTTCTGGCCATGTTATTCCTGCCCTGGGAGGTGCCTCAGCAGAAGAGCTGCCAAATTTGCTTGTGTGCCTTTGGTGGCACTTTTCAAGGGCACAGCCCCCGTGTGAGGTTGCTGAGGGCAAAACCTGCTCCCAGCTCATTTTGAAAGCAGTTCATGACCACCATCCACCTGTGTGTTTATTTTAGTGAGCACTGCCAGGTGTGCTGTCACCATCTCACCTGACCCTGATTAATTACTTATTTATATTACTCGAATCTTTCTGCCAAGAAAATGACGGGGTAGTGAAACAAAATGCAGCATTACAAACATGCAAAGGTACAGGGACTGAAGTGTGTGATTCCCACAGCAATGTGGTGAGGCTGGAGAGGAAAAACATCACTTGGGATAAGACTAGGAAGTGCTACTTCCTAGAAACTGTGACACCACCTCACTCTGTGGCCTCGGGCAAATCATTTACTGCTGGTCTCAGTTTCTGCACCCCTTCAAGTGTGTGCCCTGACACAGTGGGAATAAATAATTTATTCACACGTGATGTATGGCATGTCCTAGTATTGGGTACTGCTGTTAATGAAGAAAAAATGAGATTAGTTTCTTATTTGCAATGCTGAAGGTTCATGTGCAATATGCTCTGAATTCAGAGAGCATTCCATATGTTGTCATATGTTCTTGTTTTATTACTGCCTGGATGGGGGTCTCTGATGCTGTGGGAACAAGGACTAAGGTGCTTGATACTTTAATATTTTAGCCACAGAATTAGCTAATCAATTTTTACACTGTGTTGTTTAAGATGAAAAAGCGACTCAAGCGATAACTTGACTAGAAACCTCTTAAATATCACAATGTCACAGTGAACTTAAATAAACCTAAAGGCTAATAGGTGTGTCTGGTTTGCCTTCTATTTGCTAAACCGTTCTGTTGACTCAGGAGATGAAACAACAGAAGTTTCCTCGGGTCCCCGGTGCACAAACTCCGGCCTCGGTGCACAAGTGAGGGGACACAGGGACACGGGCTGCGGGGGGCTCTGCGAGAAGGGGAGGCTGCTATCGGCTCGCACTCTCCGGAGATGCTGGCTCCTGCCCTGACTGCTTGTCGCCCTCCCGCTCGGCAAAAGGCAGCGGCTGGTGCGTCCCTGCCTCCCCGGCACCCCGGCACCTCCTGGGCCAGCCTGAGATGAGGCAGCCTCCTCCCGGGCATGGGCATCTGAAGGTAACCCACAGCTTTAGAGGCTGTTATTAACAACGGGATCGTGAAAATGAACCAGAAAAGCTGCTGCAAGCCCTAAGGTGATTCCTATATCCACTATGGAGAATTAAGCCGGATGGCCAGCGCTGGGAGCGAGTTCCGCTGCCGGGCTCCGGCCGAGCCGTGCGCGGGGGTGACACCGCTCGGCCCATTGTCCCCTCCCCGCCGGCCCGGCCCGGCCCGGCCCGTCCTTCCAGGGCCGGCCGTTCCCGGCGCCCCCGCTCCCTCTCCCGGTGCCGCAGCCGAGGGTTCGGCACCTGCCCGGGCCCGGCGCCGGCCGCGCGCCCTTTATGGCCGGGCCGGGCGCGGTGCGCGGGTCCCGCTCCAGCGAACAATGGCAGCGGCGGCGCTGCCCGGCACCTCCTGAATGGGCGCAGGCCTGGGGGGCGGCGGCGGCGAGGAGGAGGAGGAGGAGGCAGCAGCGGCGGCGGCGGGGCGAGGCGAGGAGGGAGCCGCCGCCCCCCATCCTCCCTCCCGCCCTCCGCCCGTCCCTGCGCAGGGAGCGCGGGGCCGGGGGGCCCGTCCGTGGGGCGGCGGCGGGAGCAGCGCTGAGCCGCAGCACCGGCAGCGCCCGGCGGGCGGGGGACCCCCGCTCCATCGCGGGCCCCGCGCCGAGGTGAGTCCCGCCGCGGCGGAGCTTCAGCCACACGCACCCCCAGCTCCCGCGCCGGCACACCGCGGGGGCAGCGGGGAGGAGGAGGAGGAGGAGGGGATGCTGATGGCAGCGCCGGCCTGCGCGGAGGCCTGCGGGGAAGTTGCGGGGTGTGCGAGGGTGGTCTGAGGTGACGGGGGGGCGGCAACTTGGCGCCGTGTCCCCCCCGGGCAGGTGCAGCGCGGGGCGGGGGCGCCGCCCCGCCGGGGCCGCGGGGGCCGCGCTTACTTCAGCCTCGGCCAGAACAAAAACATAATGAAGGAGGGGGGATGGGATTTTTATTTTTATTTAAGGGAAAAAGAGGAAAAAAAAAGCCCCAGCCCTGGGAGTAGCTGTCACCGCGCGCATTAAACTAGAGAACTGGCTAATCAAATAAAACTGGCTCATTGTCTGAAACTCTATCCCAGCGCAAAATGCGGCTGTGAATGCAATTAACCATCTGTCTGGCGGGCGGCGGAGCGCCGGGTCCGTGCGGCCGGCACCCGGGCGCTGCCGTGCCCGAGCCGCGGGATGTGCCCGGTGTGTGTGCGAGGAGGATGCTGGAGCGGGGGGGGGAATCCAATCCTCCCTCGGCCCCGAGGCGAGCGAGCGAACCCAAACAAGCCGCGGGGGCCCGGCGGTGGCGGCCGAGGCGGTGGCTTTGCCGCGGTGATGCTCCCGCGGGGAGCCCGCCGGGATGGGCGCGTTTCTGGGGGAGCCGGGCCGGGAGCCGTGGGTGGATGCGTGAGGCCGGAGGGAGCGATGCGCCTGTGCGAGCCGAGGCCTCAACGAGCCTCTTGCGGGAAAACAAAACGGCTCCGCGGTCCTTAAATCCTCCCGGAGGTTTTTTTCCACCCCCCCCGTTTCCGCCCCGCGGTTCGCTCGTCCCCCCTGCCCCGCGCCGGCCCCGAAACCTCAGTGCAGCCATCAACATCCTGGTACTCGGCTGTGCCGCGCCGGAGGTACCTGCTGGCACCGCCGGAGCGGCGTGCTACTGCGGTAACACCGAGCCCGCCGCACACGCTGCTGCTCGCTCTGCCGCTACACACGCTCCTGCCTCTCGCTTTGCTGTTTTTAAATTTTTTTTTAATTTTTTTTTTTTTGGTGCGCGTGTGGTTTAGTAAAGGAATAATACAGAGGCTAAAAAAAAAAAATAGCGGCAGCGCTCAAGCAGGTAGGATGCAATTTAAAGTCACTTCAGCTAATACCCCATGCAAGACTGCATTTGTTAAGGTATGTGAGCTGTGCAGAAGGCAGCAGTCTTTAGTGATTCACTTTTGAAAAACAAATACTTGACAAAAGAACCAGACCTGCTAAATGGATAACAATTATGTAAGCCTATAGTAGGTTTTGATGTATGTCAAGTCTGTTAAATAAATCAACCTGTTCAGTGAATAAATCTGCTCTGCACCAATGCTTTATTATAATTTTTTTAAGGAGAATAAACCTGTGTATTTAAGACGTTTTTACTGATGTGAATCTCGTGGCCAAGCCCCATAGCTGCCAGTGACACAAGACAAATCCGTGGGGAGGGTGGGGTGCAGGAGCGTGGGGAGGGATAAGGTGGATATTAAAAATACACAAAGATGTGCATAAGGATTCCTAGTGATAAAATTCTCACTGATCCATGTCTTGATGGAGTATTTGCTTTGCAGTGGCAATGGCCCATACAAAGCTACATTGATTTAGCTTGCTCTGTTCACGATGGCAGTTCTGGTGAATAATTATTTTCCCAAAAGCCCTTACCAAGGGAAGAAAGAGAGTCCCTGCTTGGCCTACACAGTAGTACAGTATCTTTGAAAGCGCGTATCCGGCTGCAAATAAAGAGAGCCAGTTCAAGTGTTACTACACTCAGCAGGAATAAAAGGGAGGCAGAAAAGGGGAGCCCCCGTGTGCCTCGTCCCCCTCTCCCTCTCTGCTCCTCGCCCTGCGCTCGGCTTTGGGGGCGGGGAGGGGGATTTTTCTGGGTTTGTTTTTCCCTTTTTTTTTGGTGTTTGCTGTTGCCTTTTGGAGGCGAGGCTCTGGCAGCCCACTTAAGCGTTGAGTTCTGAATGCTGAGGAGTCTCTTTCAGATTGAAAAAAAGAGAAGAGGTTGTGGCCAGGGGGTTTTAACTTCCGTAGCCGGGACAGGGACTCCCTGTGTGGGGCAGTGCCTTGGTGGTGTCCTTCTCTTTTGAGATGGTGGGGCCTCGTGGATGGTTTCGTGATGGATCACGTGTGTATCTTTTTTCCTGGCTCTGCAACGAAACATATGAAAAGGCTCAAATGTGCCTGCAGGACCAAGAAGGCCCCAGGCTTGGGGAGAAAGTGTTCCCAGACAAAGGGGTCTGGCTCAGGCTGGATCCTGGGTGTGGGACCCAGCCAGGGATGCGAGGTGCATTTTTTGGATATTAAGGCTTTTCCATTGTAGCAGCAATCCAGCTGTGCTGCGTTCCCCCAGCACAGCAGTGAACCATCCCCTTGAAGTTTATGCCCCGTTGCAAACAAAAAGCAGCGTTAGGAAATAATCTTTTCCTTGGGCAGAATCCAGGGAGGAGAGCCATGGATGCTCCAGGCCTTGCCCTGGTCCTTGTGTGGGGGCTCTTTGATGCTGCCGTTGCTGAGTTTGTGTTTGGCCCTGAGAGGGTTTGGGTAGCCTGGCTGTTTACCAGAGGAAAATTGCTATTGCTTCTCAGTAATGACAGCTTTTGGTCTGTGAGGGTATGTTAAAAAAATATTTTGAGAATTGGGAGCAAAATAATTGTTATGTAATCCACCTGTTACGTTCAAAGTCCTGTTTTCCACCTGGGAGAGGATTGCACTTTTTTATTTTTATGCTAGATCTTTGTGTACTTTTAGCCCCGCTTGAGTTGGCTTTATAATCATTACCTGTGTATACAGTCAGGTGCTTGACGAGCCTGATTTTGTGGATGCTGCCAGCAGTGAGTAAATGAGCCATGTGGCATGAAACTGAGCAAACCATGTTTTGCTGGTACCTTGCTCTTCCCTCTTTTCTCTGAGCTGGTGCTACCCACCCCTGGTGTCACCTGTCACCTGTGCAGGGGTCTGAGCTGTTCTAGCACAAGGATTTCTCTGTCTGATTTCTTACCTGTATGTGGTGTGAGAGGCGTGGTGGGATCTCAGCCTTTTGGGCTTTTGATTTTAGGGCTCCTGGGTGCCCTTACAACCAAACACTAAACGATTGCCAGGCGTTGTGTCGTGTAGAAAGCAGTGAAGTTACAGATGCTGAAGATGATGGATTGCCTTGAGCATCCAGGTGTGGGGATTTGCCTGAAGGATGCAGGAATTGAGTATAAAGCCTGTGCTGAGGGTTGGTAGCACTGCTGAGCTGCATGGACACGAGGAGAAACAGGGAGTGTTTGGGAAAGCTGAGCCAGAGGGAAGCTTGCAGGAGGAGTTGTCAGTTCTGCAAATGAGTGTTGAACCCTCATCCTTAGCAAATTGTCTTAGGAACGGCCAGGGGAAGTGGCTTTGGTGCCGTGGTGCTCTGGACTCTGGTGGTAGTGCTGGGTGGATTTTGTTTGCAGTTCAGGGGAGTAGCATGTAATCTGTGTAATGCTGCTTTTGTGTGCTCTATTGCAAATTGATGTCTGGGGAATGACATGAAGCAAAGGCTCTAGACCAGCGGGTCTGTGATATTTTTGTAGCGATGTCTTTTTATTCAAAGCAGGTGTCATGGAGATCTTTCATCCCAGGATTTCTTTCATCCCTGGCGTTTGTTAGCTTGTGTTAAAACTTTAAATCTTGAGAATTTCTTCTGTACAGAAGGTGTTCCTCATGTTGCTCTGGCATGGGCTGAGCGATGATTATGCAGTCTCCAAAGAGTGACAGGGATGAGGTGGATCTGTGTCTGCATGGCTACGTCAGCCCTGTGAATAATCCAGGGACGTGGCCCAGTGCCCTCCAGCCACAGGCAGGGTCTGTGCCAGCTCAGCTGGAGGACCTGCCCAGGGCTCTGGGAGTGGGCAGCGTGGGCGTGTTGTCCCTGGGCAGAGTTTTCTTCTAACCCTTAAGCATTCAGGAGGTGATTTATGCCCAGCAGTCTGAGCTCGTATTTGCAGTCTTGTTTGCCTTTAAAAAAGCTTTTGACTACGAGATAACTGATTTGCTTAATTTATCCAACCTCTTGTCTCGATAGTCTCCCATGATGGAGAATTCTGCTGGCTAATTGTTGCCTTTCACTGATCTTATACATCTTTGTTTTGTGCTGCATCTTCAGAACCTCGGTGGATGTGTCACTAGAAGTTTCTGACCAGTCCCCTTGTCTTCATTTACGGTGTTGCTCCCTGCTGGGAAGGTGGAACCACAGTCTGCTGGCCCAACAGCGTTGCTTCTGCTTGGACCCCAGCTAATTAATTACCCCATCAGTTCAACACCTTTCTGAATTGTCACTGTCAGGACTGTGATTTTTGTCTCTTCCAGTAGCTGTTGTTTTCCTGAGGCATGAGACCATGAGTGTCTCTGTCTTAGGAGGGAGCTGGAGGTCTGCCTTGTGGTGTCCCTTGAGTGGTGTTGCAGTGCCAGTCTCTGTGTCACTGGGGCTGGCAGCAGCAGCAGAGCTCGTAGGCCTGGCCTTGACACCAGTTTGGGCTTTTCTGCCAATTTATCAGCTTCCTCCTCTTGCCTCTGCAGGGTTTCTGTCGTGCAGAAGGGACTCCTCGTGGTGGGTTTGGTGTGAGGGTCCCATCCTGCCTTGTGGTGTTCCCTGCAGGGGTCTGGAGCTGTTCCACACTGCTCCACCGAGGCCCTTGGAGAGAGGAGAGTCAGGATTTCCAAAATAACCCCAAACAGCCAAGGTGTTTTCTGCCTCTGCTCTCCCCCAGGTAGGGAGCTCCTCACTGTCCTTTTCCTGACGTGCTGACACTGCTGAGGAGGTGGCTGGTGAAGGAGACTCTTACATTTTTGAGGGTATTTGCACCCTCAGATGGAGGTTATCAGCAGATGAGCTCTTGTGGATCTTGCAGGACTCCCAGGAGTGCCAGGAC